ACTGTCCACTGAACCCCATCCTGAGTCAGATCAGTCCAGTCCATACCACCCCACCCTATTTCTCTCAGATCCAGTTTAATATTATTCTCCTACACTAGTTACAGTGTATGCTGGTGGCACTAAAGGTTTCACACTAATTGCACACATCTGTTTCAAGTCACACTGAAGACTCTTCTTTTTTTTTAACTGCTAGTGGAGTGGGTCTAAGTCCTTTGCACTGCGGTCACTTCTGGCCTATTGTACCAGCCCCAGATGATAGGTGAGGAGTAATTGGTGGAATGAAGATTGGCGGGGGAAACCAAAGTACTCGGAGAAAACCTGCCCCAGCGCCACTTTGTCCACCACAAATCCCACTTGACCAGACCCGGGTTGAGCCCAGGCTGCCGCGGTGGGACTGAAGACTATAACTGTGAAATGAATTTAGAAAAGTATGAAAAATGACTGAAAGATAAATGAATCCCAAATCTACTTGCAATCAGTGTTACAACTGTACACAGAGTTCAGAAGAATCCGGCTCCAGCATCCTAATGCGGTAGACATAGTGATGATGATGCAGTTTTGTAACAACTGCCGTATTACCCTGTACTTGGTCACATGGAACTAATCAGATGAAAGCTATACGAGTTGAGTTGCAAAAAGAAACACCAATATCAAGTAATATTTCAATTACCACAGAAAAGTTGAAAAACAAGTGTCAGCATTTCCAAACAACTGAGAATATAGGAGTGATAATATATCTGGAAGAAGGACCGGATATAGGAATACAGGTACCCAGCCCCCATTTTACAAACCCCTAATTTACAACAAATACTATGTTTCTGGACATTATCTATTGTCCTGATTTCATTTAAAACACCGTCCTGTTTATATTACAAAACACAGTGTTTCGGAGACTGGATTCTGTCTCCATCTTCAGGTAAAACCTACTCAGTTAGGTCCAACTGATAGAGCTACTCCCTCTCTCCAGAGACTGAGTAGGTTTATAACTGAAGGTGGATACAGAATCCAGTCTCCGAAATGCTGTGTTTTGTAATATAACCAGGACGGTGTTTTAGACAGAAACAGGATGATGGATAATTTCCACAAAAATATTTGTACTAATGCACCATCATCACACTTTTAGATTTTACCTCAATTTATATTTTTTTATATAATGAAGCATGTTAATCTGATCTTATTATTTACTTAACAAACTTCATTTTTGCTACAATAAACAACTTACATTTGCAAGTTTTTCTTATTCTGACAGACAACAAATAAACATGCCTTTGTAGATGGCAAAATTCCTAGTAAATTAATATTGTTTATTGTTGTTGCTACTATGCTGACATGCAATCTAAATTTATTTTCTAGCCATGAAGATGTACGATTGAGAATCTCTGTTCACATGACTATGAAGCTGGATTGTTGCATTGTATCAGCTATGAGAAAATAAGAGGTAAATTAAATAATAAAGTTGTATAGGCAGCAAAAAATATCATAACAAGTTATACTGCCCTTATTTTAATGTTTATTTAGTATTAAGAAAACATATGGTAAAAAATATTTGGGGATTATGTGAACCGTTACATTTAACAAATGCCTAAGATGTCAGCAGTTAAAATGGTAGCTGTGCAGTCTCTGTGAGTGAAAAGACAACAATGATAAAACATCTGATTTTCCATCCTTGGCACAGTTCTATCAAACATGGTCAGTGATGAAGACATGCAGTGATTGATATGATGGTATTTCATTTTGTAAATATGTGATATTAAGAGTGCTTGAGATTAGAATATTAAATGTTTTCAAATTAAGGAATTATCATGTGTTACAGAAATGTATATACAATAAGATGTTAAACATTAAATTTTATTAGTCAAGTACTGTCAACACTTCACGACATTTTTGCTTGCAGTTTGTCACTCCATTTTATCAGGCCTCTCTCAATAGTGACAAAAACATAAGGCAGCAAGAACCATAGCCCCCATTGACTTATTCTCATTTCTAACTTAGGATTCCACAATGCAATACCCAGCAGCCAGTTCAAAAAACATGCGTTGGAGATTTTTTATTTCCACAAATCAGCTAGATTGTAATGCCATTGAAATACTGTAGGCCATGATTTGGTGAAAATGTAACAAGGATGGTGCTGACAATAAATAAACAGTAGAATTTTCATGTGCAAACTTCTTTGAAACAATTATTTTCAAGACCTGGAAGGAAATCAAGTGATAATATTAAGATAAATTTCAGGTATATATATTGTGATGAAGGGTCAAGGGGTCAATGTTAGGCTTTGGTATCAGTGTGATGTACCAGAGGGTCCAGATGATAATCAATGATACAAGGCAGCACAATTTCAAACTGCAAAAATTTATCATAGTTACAAATGAAGAAATCAAAATAATATGATAGTTCCAATAGAAAGGCCAAGCAGGAATATCCACACTATCTTACATTTCCACGATTTTGTTATTCTAGTTATTTTATTCATTTCTCCTAGCCATAACATCTAAGCCAAATCAATTAACTGGATCATAATGAATACTACCAACTAAACAGGAAGCTGGGTAGCAGGATTTCTGACAAAGAAAAACATTACCCCTCCTACACCTTTATTTGTACAACTAATTAATTTCTGGATATATAAGTGCATCTTCTCAACAAAACTGGATCAAGTAGTTTTAAGAAAAGGGTTAACAAAGTATTAAATAAGAAAAAATCTGAAAATGCAGTGAAGCAAAGTGAATTGTGGTGAGTATGTGAAGGGTATCGCCGGTCACGGTAGCCGAGTGGTCTAAGGCATGTACTGTCTTCACTCGCTTGGAAACTGGGATCGTGGGTTCGAATCCCACTCAGGGCATGGATGTTTAGTTTGTGTGTGTGCGTTTTTCTGTGTTTGTGTGCAGGCACAGGCCTTGAGACGAGCTGATCACCCGCCCAAGGAGTCCTACAGAATGTGTAAGATCTAGAAAAACCGAAGTGAACGGAGAAGTTCATGGAGGTAGGCCTAGGCCCACTGGGGCTGTAGTCGCAAGGGGGAAAAAAAAATGTGAAGGGTATGTAAGTGTAGTGAAGTGGAATGAAAGGAAGGTCAAGGTGAAAGGTGAGCTCAACAGAACATGACATTAGTATTCCATTACTGTTACTGTTTAGTGTATACTTACTTACGTATGGAGCTGAGCCCTTCTTGAGGAGAAGCCAAATCTGCAGCTACTCAAGAATTTCCCAGCATTTTATGGAATCCGAAGGTTCATTACCGTGTTCACAAGAGCCCTCCACTAGTTCCTATCCTGAGCCAGAACAATCCAATCCATACCATCCCATCATATCTCTCTAAGATCCATTTTAATATTGTCCACCCACCTATGCCTTTGTCTTCCTACTGGTCTCTTTCCTTCTGGCTTTCCCAACAATATCCTATACACATCCCTTTTCTCCCCCATTCGTGCTACATGCCCTGCCCACCTCATCCTCCTTGACTTGATCATTTCAATTATACTTGGAGAAGAGTACAAGTTATGAAGCTCCTCATTATGCAGTTTTCTCCAACCCCTGTCACTTCATCCCTCTTCGGTCCAAATATTCTCCTCAACACCCTGTTCCCAAACACCCTCAGTCTATGTTCCTCCCTTAATGTCAGAGACCAAGTTTCACACCTCTATAGAATCACAGGCAAATAATAGTTTTGCATATTCTAATTTTTATGTTTATGGACAGCAGAAGAGAAGACAAAAGGTTCTGGAGTGAGTTGTAGCAAGCATTACCCAAGTTCAATCTCCTCTTAATTTCCTCCTGAATCAGGTTTTGATTTGTCATCGTCATTCCCAAATATCTGAATTGTGTCACATTTTCAAAACATCTGTTTTCTATCGTTATGTCATGATCTTGCACTGCATTTTGGTCACAAGACAGCAACATATACTTAGTGTGTAGCATACTCATTTTTTATTAATAGTAATTCATTTAATTTTAGCTGTAAATTGTATTTACATTGTATTCATTTTGTGTAGTGTGTCCTTACTTGTGTAATTTTGCATGCTATGTTTTTAGTGTAGTGTGTTATTTTGTGTAATGTGTGCTATTTGTGTGTTGTATTACTGACACCGAGTAAAAACCCGTTTGCAGTTTCAATAAATAATAATAATAAATAATACAAATTCTTTTTGGAGAAAAATGTCATGTACCAGCAGCTAATCCAAATCGAATTGAACAATATGTCATACAGTATATTTAAGAGCAGTGAGCCCCAGTCCTCACTCATAAAAAGAAAAAAGATGGAACAGTCCAACACCAATTCTGGCTGCATAACATTGCAGGGGGTTCCTACTGTCATTTGGAGTCCTGGGTTCTAAGTATCAGAGGCTGAGATGCTTCTCCTACAGTTACAGTCGTTCATACGACCAGCAAGGTTCATCTTGCCACAGTGTAGAAATGTCACACGTTATGACAACTAAAAAATCAAAACTTAAAAATGAAATGTTCATCCCTTTCTAAATATTTCTTGACAGACGCAACTGGTACATAAATCGGCGTCTGTATAAACATAACAACGTAACGTATTTTAAACTGCGCTGCATCTGAAATGTTTAACAGTAGTTCGTACTTACAAAAAAGTCATGTGGTGCTGTCGTACAAAATTGTTATCTCAAAACACAATTACTTCAAATTAAAACACTCGCACCCTACCACAAATATCTTCCGTAAACTACGATTACCGACCACGTTAAACATGCTAAACATTATTACATACATAAACATGGCATAAATACTACTCACTTCAAAAGGTAAGTATTTTAAATATTATTTCAATTGTCCTTTCAATTATTAAATGCTTCCAAAGATACCTACATATATTAATTATGATCCTTTAACTCCTATCTCAGTAATTACCAATCAACATGTATTTAGTAGTTACAGTTCCAAGATTATATCTAACAGAATGGCCAATACAGCTCGTCAAGAACCGAAAGACACTATACGGAATTCCTTTATTTTAATAATATTTCAGGAATATATGCAACATATTATTCACTAAAACAAATATATATTCCGTACGCCTACTAATTATATAGAATGAGTTTTCTACACTGGTAATTATTCAAGCTTATGTTCTAAGCTGATGGAGAGCAATGATATGTCGTTTTGGTCACCATGTAACATTGCAGTCGAAACCCAATATGGTTCCGGTTTGGATAAACAAAAATAGAAGTGCCATGTAGAATGTGACAATGTGATTTCAGAACATCTGTCGACCTGTGTTATGTAGAATAGGTTCTACAAGGTGTTAGTGTAACTTTACTAACGTTGCTTTCTCTTCATTTTGTGGATGAATGCCAACATAACCTTGACCGTACGAGATTTTCATGTGTCTTCACATTGATAAGTTTATACGAATAACAACGAATATACAGTAAGTCTGGGTGCAGCTTATAACAATGGGAACTAACACCGGTACCGTAATGACTTTAGCGAACAGCATAATTGGCGTTGGTGTACTTGCCATGCCATTTTGCTTTAAACAGGTGGGTGTGTTACGGTCATGAGGAATAACTATGATTTTTTCTTTTCCTTATGCTTTCCATTAAGAAAAAATCGTTTTCATGCTTTTGACATTTTATGTTACAGTGTGGTATCATCCTTTCTATCCTGATGCTACTTCTCAGTAGCTTCTTATCTAGATTAGCATGCCACTTTTTGCTTAAAGCAGCAATTATGGCAAGGAGAAGAAATTTTGAATTCCTTGGTAAGTTTATAAGTGTTCTAATATATTGAATAGTGACGTTTACATTGTTGCTGGAAACCTGCATGAAGTTTATAATCATGTTTTTGCCTTAGTATGCCTAATGAAAGTCAATATCTTGTAAATGTATTAGTGAAAATCGTAATAAGAATTTAGCTTGTTAAAAGATCCAAATTTAAACGAAGTGGTTGACGTGAATATGACCTTAATTTTCTTTTCTGCCTGTAGCTTTCCACACATTTGGACCTCCTGGTAAAACAGTTGTAGAGCTCTGCATCATTGGATTTCTTATGGGTACATGCATAGCATTCTTTGTTGTTGTGGGTGATTTAGGACCAGCAATTGTAGCCAAAACACTGGATATCAGCAACACTGCAAATCTAAGAGAAATTGTATTAATAGGTATGTTACTATTTCAGTATTGTTCATACTTTTGCTTATATAAATGTAGCCCTGGGTAGTACACTACTTCTTAGTGTTGTTTTCATTTCAGACTAAATGTCAGTAAGAAAAGAGAAAGCATGGCATTTTAGATTCTCCCCACAAAAATCAAGATTATGGGCTCCTGGGATGTGGTGTTGTGACCCTAAAGATCTGCAAACTACACAGCATTAAATTCTAAAAATCAAGAAACAAAGTTCTCTTCATTTTTATTTTTCTGTAAATTATTGCACATTAATAAGGATAAATTAAGAGGGAAGATTAAAATATAACAGTGTTTGTCTTATATAATAGCATTCAAAGAGATAAAAGCCCTAGAACATTACAAAACAGTGTATAAACTTAAGTAAATAATGTGTACACTGCCACCACAACAGCAATAAATAAAATGTTTAAGTCAAAGTTGTCTCTGTGCTTAATTAATTAAGCACTACACCATGAACGCATATGGGGTATGGAAGTATAGATCCACATTTTCTTGATCTTGACACTAGTTGGAGGTGAATGGTCAGCTTCACTCACTGGCCACTTTACCCCTGGGTAATGAGCCCCCAGTACCCATTGGATAGTAGGTTGGGTGTACTCCAGAGCCGATCTGGACGACTTGCAGAAGAGAAACTTTTTGACCCTACCAAGACTCAAACTCTGACCTCTCTGTCATCCAACCCCATAGCTAGCTATACCGACTGTGCTATCCCAGCTCTTTAAGTCAAAGTACAAACAGAAAATCGTATTTGGTTACCAGCATTTCAGAGTAACCTGCTACCTCCAGCTACAGAATAGAATTTCTCTGCCATTCTCACTCCCCATATCTTTGTGAGTAGGAACTAAAATAAGCGCTTCTTGGTATCATGAAAAATACTCTTTGGAATTTTCTCAAGAATGTGAAGGTTTTGTGAAATAATTTGCCTTCTCAATTTTATCCCTGTTGTTTCCAGGTCTGGCACTTTTTGTTGTCTTGCCACTGGGTTTACTGAGAAATGTGGACAGCTTAAGTTCTGTGTGCATGGCCACTATTGGGTTCTATCTTTGTCTCGTATTGAAAGTAAGTGCTGCATCTGCTTGAAAAGTTTATTTCTCACCTTATAGAAATTCATAGGTTGTGTCATATTGAATGAGAAGGTGATGATGTATTTAGAATAATGTGGGAGAAAGCAGTGATGGCTTATTCTGACATTCAGTCTCTGTTTTGAGTAGATTAAGCTTAGCATTTTATCTTAACTCTTTCAAGTTAAATTCACATCCAAAGTACAGCCACAAGGTAAAGTTATTCTTCACCATGCACAGGGAAAAATATCTCAGAGCTGCTGAAGAAATTTCTCCCCATCTTCATTTTGGATATATATAACTGAGAAGAATCGCCATCATTATCACTAACTCATGGAGCTGAGCCCTTCTTGAGAAGTCGCCAATTGTGCAGCTACTCAAGAACTTCCCAGCATTTTATGGAACCCAAAGTTTCATTACTGTGGTCACAAGAGCCCTCCACTGGTCCCTATCCTGAGCCAGATCGATCTAGTCGATCTAGATGGATTGTTTAAGTGACATCACGTTTGTGAATGAATGAAGATAAAAAAGGGTGACAGATTGTTTCTCAAACGATATGACTTTGGGTCTGGATTTGCAGAACTCTATTTTCGATTTGAGGTTCTCATAGTGGTCTTTTGGGCTGTAACATCATGTAGCCCAGTAGAAGTTCAGCATTTTGTAGAAGCATGCTGCCTCCATCTTCAGGACTAAAGAGTAAAAAAAAAAAAAATTAAGCTATCCCTGTACCAGCCCGTGAAGACCCATAGGGTTGTGAGGGGTTGAGGGTCCCACATTATCTAGACAATCGGCTCAAAGATGTCAGTAAGGTTGTCAGCCTTACATGCCAGCCGCGCTTTACTCCCCAGGAAAATTATTTAATTAATTCCTGGTAGTCATTTCTGTTAGAGGCTGAGTCAACCCCAGGGCCATAGTTCGGCTGGAAGCATTAAGTTAATTAGTAAGTCATGCAAGAAACTGCAAGAAGCAGGTGGTAGCAGGTGCTTGCTTCTTGCTGGTCTCTTCCTTGACTTAACACACAATTTCTTTAGGATGCATTTCCTCTTACATTGTGGGACCTGTAAAATAAAGAAACAGTATGCTGACATCTGTGTTATTTCAAATTTCTTGGTTTAAGGTAATGGCAGAAGCTACGCCACACCTGGTTGCGGGTGATTGGGTGGATGAGGTGTCCCTTTGGAGACCTGCAGGCATGTTGCAGTGCATTCCTATTTTCTCCATGGCACTCTTTTGCCAAACGTAAGTGCCTCTGCTTGCATTAATACTTTCAGAATGCATGTTGTTTTCTTTTTGATATCTTCAAGGAGTGCATCCTGTTGTGTTATCACTGTCCATATATAAATTACAAACTCAATAATTTAAGAAAATGAAAATTGCCATCTTCTGAGATATAGCACTGTAGTCCGTATATGAACCGACATTTCAGAGGAACGTATCACCTCCATCTTCAGGGTCGAATGTCAGCTGAGCAAGAAACCAGAGAGAGGAGGTGGCTAGGCAGAATGAGCAGTCAGTCAGGATAACAGTTATTTACGGACCAGAGGGTAAGAATAAGGGGTGTCACCCAGTTCCCATTGGCTTCCTACTCTCTCTTGCCTGGCTTCGTGGGTGAGCCGTTAGGATCCAAGATCTGCGTAAGAGTGTACAAGGGCCGGTTTGAGGAAACAGGTTTAGGCAGTATATCCCAGAAGATGACAATTTTCATTTTTATAACTACTGCTGTGAGAACCTCAAATCCTCAATAATTTAAGTTTGTAGAATGTATTGCCTGATGATGGCTTCATGAACAGCTGAAACATGTAGAAAAATTGTATTTTAACCCAAATAAATGCACAATTAACATGAAAAAAGTGTGAGTGAATTATATGGTAGATTTGTTATGTCAACGGTAAAAACCAATTTTGTATATATACATATTCTTTATGATAATTAAGTTATAAGTGTTAGTGTAACATTTCATAATTGGTTTTGGCTGCCATTCATCGCTTATCGTCTTCTCTATTTAACCATAAGATTTTGGTATGTTATAGCCAAAAGTATGTTCTTATCTCATTAATGTGTAAATGTATATTGCTTGTTTTGAGCGTACATATATTGAAATGCGTGTGTAATAGAGGGTGATTCTCTTGCTAGAAAACCCAAACATTTCTCAATAACTTTTTAATTTTTGTATGGTTCTCTATGAACATTGACATATACTTACCTTGTATGTTGCAAAAGAAGGTCTGCCTAGAGCATATGCTGAAAATGGCCCCCTCCAGCATCCAAGCACTTTTCTATGCATGTCTGCAAATTGGCGAAGACATCTGATAATGTGACATCAGTAAAGGCAGTAACCTACCTCTGTATCGCGTCTTTGAGGGTGTCAGTTGTTTGCGGCTTATTGCTGTATACACAGCCCTCCAGTGAACCCCACAAGAAGAAACCAGGTGATGTCAGGTATGGTGATTTTGGAGGCCACAGATTTCTTTTACATTAATCGGTCACTGAAATAAATATAAATTTCCCTCATGCTTGCATTAGATGTGTGGCATGTTGCAGCAACTTGCTGAAAGTAACTTTAAGTTAATTCATCATCTGTTAACTGATTCACAAATTCGTTGAATATGTTCAAGTATACATCTGAGATAACAATTTAATCGAGAATATGTGACCAGTAACTCATCTATGTGACAAGGCACAGCACACCCTGATTATCTCCAAATGTGAAGGCTCTGTATGAGTTTCATGTGGGTTTTCTTCTGCCCATACACCTGTGTTTTGCGAGTTTATATAGCCACTCAGATGAAACCAGGCTTCATCCATAAACCATGTAATGTCCAAAATCCATGGATCTTCTCCAACTAAATGTTGGTACCAAAAACAACATCTTGCACATTTCTCCAAATCCGTTGGAAGCAACTCTTGCACTACAGACACACGGTATGGGTGCAGTTTCGCTTTTTTGGCAGCTCTTTGATACATAGAATAAGGAATGCCAGTTTCTTGCAAAAGTCTTCTTAAGGGTTTTCTTGGCAATGCCAGTAATAATTGATCCTTCACATCCTGCGCTGTCACACATTTTCTGTCCTCCTGCATCTCGAGTCAAAATAACTTCTGGTAGTCTCTAATTTTTTTCACCAATTTGTGAATACAGGATTTTGTAGTTACACTTCCTTCACCATACGTATTCCGAAATGCCCTTTGACATTGTTTAAATGAACCCATTCACCAGTACTCATGAACAATAAACACACGCTGTTCAGCTGAATACATGTTTGTGACATAAACAATCACTCTACGCTGAGTCAAACGCCTGTTTGGTAGTCGCATCTCAACATCACAGGTACAATCCACTTCGTTGAGGGGTGTGATGGTTCTGCTTTGATAGATGTAAGCTTCCTCCATGTCAGTTTTCATAGGTAACTATACGAAAATTAAAAAGTTATTGAGGAATGTTTGGGTTTCCTAGCAAGAGAAAGTGGTCAGTTATTGCTTTGGTGAAATGAGAACATAAGTACAGAATTATAAAATTTAATTGTTATATATCTGATGACAGGCAACTGTTTGAAATTTACGAGAGTCTACCGAATGCCTCCCTGGACAAGATGAATGAGGTGATACGAGCAGCAGTGAATCTGTGCACTGCCTTCTACATATGTGTTGGCTTCTTTGGTTATGTAGCCTTCTGCACCCAAAACTTTACTGGTAATTATTACAATGGAAATTGTAATATTGTTCTCAAGTGTATCTATGTAGACGCTATGTTTGTTGCACCACAGTTTCAGCACGGGTATATCCGCGCTGTCACAGCGTCCAGCTCACTGTGGACTCCGTGTGTCACTGCATTATACAGGGGTCAGTGTTTCTATGTAGGCACTAAATTTGTTGCACTGTAGTTTCAGCACGAGTATATCCAGGCTGTCATAGCGTCCAGGTCAATTGAGTGGAGTTGATTTGAGTTGATTAGTGAATTAGTGAGAGATCTGCTGCAGTGAGAAGCTGGTAGCAGAGGCTGGGACTATTCAAGAACCCAGAGGAAGGAGAATGTCTGCCACTGGAAGCTGTTACCAAGCAACAGCAGTGAAGATATTACTGTGGACACTGAAGTTTGTGAATTAGTGAAATGGTTGTAATTACTTGTAGTCACAATTGAAACCCCATTTATAGTCACACTCAATCATATGACAGTATTCTTCATACTCATTAATGTAAGAACTTGAAATTGAACATGGTAGTGAACATTTGGGTTCCATAAAATTCTGGAAATTTTAACTCAGTGACTATCAGCTACTCAAGATGGGCTGTGATTCATAGAGCTACTTCTTACACATATGTGCAGGCCAGAGCAAATTACTCATATATTGCCATTTTCAACCTGTTGTATCATATGGAATAACACAAAGGAAATTTGTATGTTCAAAGCTATTAAAATCTTAAACTGTGAAAGTACCTTATAAATATTCTGCATTACTGTATATGAAATTACATTGTAACAGGTTATTAATTTTCTTTCTCTGGTTTTGAACTTCGTATATTAAAACATTGTTCTTTTGAATTATAGGAAATGTACTGATGAATTTCACTCCAACTTTAATCAGTGACATCATCAAAATGGGGTTTGTTCTCTCAGTGGCTGTGAGCTTCCCATTGGTGATCTTTCCATGTCGAGCTAGCCTATATTCCCTTCTCTTCAAGAGGGTAAATCAAAACATTCTTTTAATTTAATTAAAATCTAGAAGTTTATGATGAAAGTATAGTAATAACATTTCTGATTTTCTGGACATTATTCATCATCCCATTTCTTTATTTAAAACAGTATTTCAGAGACTGGCAAATATCTTCCTTCCTCAGGTAAGAAGTCTAATCGATTTGGCCCAATTGACAGATCTGGTCCCTATCTCCAGATACAAGCACCAACACAAGGCAGGATATATAAAGCAAACACAACTTCTGCAGGAGTTAAGACAAAAATTTCAAAACTCGACTTGTGGGTGGAGGCAGAGTCCAGCCTCAAAAACGTTGTTCCAAGCACAAAAAAAAATACGGGGATGATAGATAATGTCCAGAAAGTAAATTTTATTGTTTTATTTTGTGTACACTTTATCTTACATGAGTTCAGTTTGAGTAAGAGAATTGTTGCATGTAGCTTTTAAGTAACTTAAATAAGTTTTCCTTCTTATCTTTTGTAGTAGTTGAAGCTTGAGTAAGTCTGTTCTCTTCAATCATTTTTTCCCCCATGAAGTAATATTATCACTACCATGTAAGTGCCATTTAATTTAATACTGGCTGTTGCATGATTTCAAGTTGTATGTATGAGTACTTTTATTTTCTTATAAGAGAATATATATGGCTAGTCAGAAACCTCTAGTGACCTGTTAACAAAACAGGCAATAAGAAAAAAAAATATTTTATACAAGAAATATGTACTTAAGCTACTTTTCAACCTAGTCACTGGCAGAATTGAGTATCGTAGAGTAAATTTTTGAATGCCTGTGTCAAAGAAGTCTGCTGCCTGTGAGATCAGCCACATTTTGTATTGTGAAACACTAAGAAACTGTGTAGGGTCATTCAGAATAAAAGGCATGTAATGCTGACATCCAGTGTAGTGCTCCTTCTTGACAATGCCCATCCACATAGAGCTGCTTGCATTCAAGCACTGCTGGAGCATTTCAACTGGGAGTTGTTTGACCACATTCCTTACAACACTGATCTCGCTCCAATCGACTACCACCTATTTACTGTCTGAAGAACTAGTTGGCATCACAGCACTGCAACAATAATGAATTGATGGAAGGTATCAAAATATGGCTGAGCTCCCAGGCAGGAGACTTCTTTGACACAGGCATACAAAAACTCATTCCCCGATACAAATGCCTCAGTTCTGGCATTGACTACATTGAGAAGTAGCTTAACATATGTATGTATTTTTCTTTGTGCATAATATTTTTTTTTTCATTGCAGGTTACTTTCCAAATAGCCCTCCTATATACATTCAATCATTAATTTCTTCAAACTAATGCCAGAAAACACATTCTGTGGCTGCACAACTACTTGAAGAATGCGATAATTCATATTTCCAGGCAACAGGTCTTCTAATCTACCACAAACACCAATCTAAGCCGCGCCATAGCTCAAGTGGGATTTCTGGTGGACAGAGTGGCTCTGGGGCAGGTTTTCTCTGAGTACTTTTGTTTTCCCTGCCAATCTTCCTTCCACTAAATTCTCCATTATCATAATTACCCAGGGCAGGATACTATAGGCAAATCTTTGGCCGCCGTGCCGAGTGGGCCCAGTTGGACTCCACCCCCCACTAAGCAAATTAAAAAAATTAAACACCAATCTACAGATATCACTGATATCTTCACAGGAGCTATGCTTGGGATGGAAGGGGGGTTTCGTGTCACATGGTCTGATTCATGTCATGTGGATTGTCCTAAGAAACCACTTGCCTGACACCAAGGATTGAGGTTGCCCCAGAGCTCACAAGAACTTTCCTGTATCTCAGCCTGTTACATATAAGAGAAGCTGTAAAATTCTCAGGAGTGCCCACTTCATTTCAGTGCAGTGCATGGCAGACAAGTGAGTCATGAGTTGGTCACTGTTCAGTTAGGCAGTGCAGTCTATTAGTGAGTTGGTTAAAGTATTCATTTCCAGTTCAGTGCAATGAGTGATCAGTGGCATTGCAATGAGGTAACAGTAGATGAAGAACTCAACTCAGCAGCAGAAGTGGTTACAGATGCTGGGATAGTAACTCCTCAGAATATTGACAGGTGTTAGAGTATCATTATCTGTAGGTCTTCAGTGGTCGGTTTCTTTTTTGGGGGATGGGGGAGAATACTATTTTACTAAACTGTCAGGGAAAAAAAGGTAACAATGTAGACCCATTGCTAATTGGTGACTCTGTAAACAGCAGCCATTGCTAGGTAATGGTTGCAACATACATGCACGCAACAATAAAACATGTGTTTTCTGTGTGGTCCATGCCAAGGCTACATAGGAAGTAGAGTGGAGTGGAGCAAGTTGGTTGGTGAGTTAGTGAGTTATTCAGAGAACTGTAGTTCAGTCATTGTGAGCTCTTGCAGTTAGAAGCAGGTAGCTGAGGCACAGGGATAGTTTGGGAATCCTAAGTAAAGGTAATGTCTGCTGTTGGAAGCTGTTACCAAGCAATGACTGGTGAAGGCACAGAAGACTGAAAAGACTTGGTGCATACTGTAGTGAATTTGAGGGTGGTGAATCAGTGATAGTACTATAGTCAGTTGTAGTTACAAGTTGTGTGTACAAGTGTTCAATAAATCCAATTATCACAACCCATCTATAGTCACACTCTGTCACATGACAATATATAAATCATTAAATAATATATAGAATACTGGTAATAGCTTTTCTTTGTGATCATATTTGGTTTCTTCTGACAGAATTATTCAAAATAAATTTCACCACTTACGCTTCAACCCTCGAACGTGGGGCAGTAAGCTCCTCCAAAATTTTGGTAAACTTCTCTAAGAATAAATGACATCTGTACTTAGCTATTAATTTATGGTTTGCATAATGATGCTGTCACTATTTAAGATTATACAGAGCGGAGGAGTAGCATGATATGTGAGTGATGAATTGGAAAAGATGTGGAAGGATGTGGTGAATTTGTCTGGAGGGACTCCGGAAAACCACAGCATGCCTCAACCGGGGTAGTCAGTGCTCTTGCCATGACTTAACCAGACCCCCCCTCCCACCCCGACTGTAAGTCAGAAGCATTACCACTTGAATCTCAACTTGCATAGTACACAGTATCACAATCTAGAATTATCACCGTGAGAACCTCACATGACATGAACTCCATTTTGTTTGCAGGTCCAAATGCCCCACCATGAAACCATGAGCAGCCACATTCCAGAAACACGATTCAAGTGTTTAACCATCAGTATCATATGTGTCTCACTGACAGTTGGACTGCTAATCCCTAACATTGAGTTGGTCCTAGGGCTCGTTGGCTCTACTATCGGTGTGCTCATTTGCGTTATGTTCCCAGCCGTTGCCTTCATATGCATATCAACCAAGAGCACGCAGGAGAGACTGTTAGCCCAGGTGAGTGTAACAATATGTTGAGCTTCCAGATATGTGAAATCTTCTGTCACTTCGCAGCATACCTGCAAATGGTACTGTATCTTTACTCTCAATTGTGTGTAAGCACACAGGAGGTGAAGAAACGTTACTGTCTTCAGGGATGTGATGCAGTATGGGCTGGTAGAAATTTACTGATGTTTTGGACAAAAGTACTGCCTCCATCTTCAAGGTTGAAGATTTAAGGCAATCAGGCACTTAAGTGCCTCTAGAATGTTGGTTACATCTACCGGGTCAAGTCCCTGTTGATGGTAATCCTCATAACTCATGAAGAAGGTGTAGGGGAGAACATTGTGATGAGGAGCTTTATTATTTGATTACCATGGCATGTCCCTCACACTGCCATGTAGTACTTTACTGGGTTACACAGATCATAACATAGATGGACATAGGCCCATAATACAGCAGTCGATAAGATATTCTACATAACCAGCAATAGGGATGAAGGTTGTCATTGCATTCTTCTGTCCACTCATCAAGAATTTTTAACTGATTTTAACTAATTAATCTTGATATTGTGATGAATGTGACCATCTGCTAGGCAACGGCTCACTAAAAACGCATTCTCATGTCAACGAAGACTCAACAAAGGGTTTCTGTGAATACAGGGAATCTACAAACAGGGTTTCCATGGGAACAGATTCTTGGGATCACCAGGCGTTTCTGCTACAACAGACAGACCAAAACCATGAACTGTTTGGTTTGGTGGCTGCTATTCGGTCCTCCCGAAGTTATAAAAGAGGGTTCATTTATATATTCAATTCATTCATTTGTAAGACACAGGCAGTTCAGTAGTTGAGCGTTCAGCTGTGAAGTGTTAGACTGGGGCCACATGAGTGCACAAAATGCATCCGTTGTAACGAACGTCATGACGTCTATTGTAGAAATAAACAAGAGAGGCTATGCTTTCTTCTGGCTCCATTGCAGACAAAAAAACTACGCACCACATTCTGCAACTGTGTGGTGTCCTCAGCAACGTCCGTCATAAAGTACGTTAGTTGCAACGGATGTACTTCATGCGCGTGTGTGGCCCCAGCCTTAACCAGATCAGATTCGTTCCCAAGCAACAACTAGCAAGACTTTATTTTGTGTGCTTTAGTTACAGCAAATAATTATTTATAATTATGTTCTGTAAGTGTCCATTAAATCTGTTCATCAGTCCATATCCCATCTACAGTCACTACTGCACATCACAACATACACAACTTATTTTAGCAGTATTAATGATTTTATCATGATTTCTGCAGCTATTACAAATCCTTTTGTGATATTTTAGTAACAACTTACGTATGTATGTGTGCAAAGTAATTTCTTTATTTTGCTGACTGTGCCCTCTGATGATGACCAGTAGTGGCTGAAACATTTAAAGGCAAAACTTTTACATCTTTTAAACTAGTTACACTTGATGGATTTCTGCTACTTATTTATGTATTTATAGGTAACAGTTCAAGATGGCTCTTATAAAGATATATAATTGTCACTGTTCCAGAAATATTAGTAGGAGGATAAGACAGCAATGGGAGGGAAGAAAAATGCTTAGAAAATTGCGGTAGGAAAACGGAAGTGTTGATGAGGGTAAAAGGTAAACTGTCCTGTTTTTAATTAATTAAGCACCATACCATGAAGACATCTGGGGTATAGCTCCACCATTCTTGACCTTGTCATCAGATGGAAGTCAGTTGTCAGCTTCACGCTCCGGTCACTTCACTCCTGGGGAAAGCGCCTCCCTGTACCCATTGGATAGAAGGCTTGATGTGTCCCAGATCTGATCTGAACACTATGGAGAAAGGAGAAATCTTGTATCTGTGAGGAATCAAACCCTGACCATCGAGCCCATAGCCCAATGCTATTCCAACTGAGCTATCCCAGCTGTTGGTTTTCATGGGCATGTAACATTAAAATGGGTATTGAGTGGATGTATCTGGCTCACGATTTATAACGACCTCTTTTGAACACAGTATTGAACATTCAGGTCCCATAAAAGGCTGGGAACTTCTTCGCTAGGTGAGCAACTGCTAGATTATCAAGGAAGACCCTGCTCCATAGAGTTATGTGGTCTGTTAAATGATGTGTTGTTGTACATTTAACTTGAACATGTCTCCTTTAATGTTCTTTTATAGTAATTTCGAAAGCACTGTTAAAACCCTCATCAGATTTATAAAGAAGTTATTCAGATATGTGAAACATATATCACAGATAATCGGGGTTTTATTAATAGAAGAACATAAATGTTAAAGATTATTTTTGCAATATTGCATCACCATAACCTAAATCCACCATCACTGGCAAACCTCACCATTTCCATGAACAATCTGTGAAGATACTGAGCATTACTTAAGTTCATAGTGACTGCTGTACACACAGACTAAATCACATCTAGCAAAAATATTCCTACAGCACAAAGTAATTCGTTTTTGAAGAAATCAAGTTTATAAGCTCAGACCTGAATGCCATCTGCAGTTTCCATTCAAAGCCCTATATATGGACTCGACTGATCCTAACAGTCACTTTTCCCAGATATTAGAGTAATCAAATAATGTCATGTATGATAGGCAAGGCTTGTAGCATGCATATGATAAGTGCATACAAAGTTTTGGTAGTAAAACCTGAAGAACAGAGACCACTAGGAGACTTAAGCATAGATGAGTGGATAATATTAAAATGGATTTTAGAGAAATAGAATGGGTGTAAGTTTTGAGGTTTTCACGGTGATGACTATGGAGAAAGTCGTCTTCTGGATTTTGGCGCCGTGTATTCTTCGTTTTGGCCGACGTTTCGGAGGAACGTATTGCCTCCATCTTCAGAGCAGGTGCAGAGCTACTGCTCTCTGCATTCACAAGCTATTCACCTGCTCTGAAGATGGAGGCGATATGTTCCTCCGAAACGTCAGCCAAAACGAAGAATACACGGCGCCAAAACCCAGAAGATGACTTTCTCCAAATAGGATGGGTGTTTTCAGACTGGACAAATCTGGCTCAGAATATGGGCAAGTGGCAGGATTTTGTGAACATGGTTATCAACTTTCAGATTCTGCGTGATACTGGAAATTTCTGGAGTAGATGAGCAACAACTACTAGCTTCTCAAGAGGGACTAATCTCCATGGAGTTAGTTAATTCATGAGCACTGTCACTTTTTGTATATGGATTTCAGTGCATTCATTTTCTCTCCATGCTCTCTGTTTTGCAATGAATAAAAATTATATACTCTTAAAATGTTTTGTATTTGATAACTAAGTTGTACCATGGATGGGCTTTGAGCTCACTTGAGAAGTAGAGTCAGCTGTTTTATACTCATGATGACTGTGGAAGTGTAGTCATTATTTTGTATGACTTCATTCTCTGAACATCAAACCTCATCAATTGTTTCTTATTAGTCATTTGATTCCCAAGCCCCACTATAGAACTGTGTGCTAGAAATACCAAGGCTGCTTACAGGTAAATGCTGTTCCACAGAAAAGCAATACACCTGCAAAGTGACTATCAAATAACAACAGGTATTGATCATGTGAAAGTCTGTTCTATCACCTAAAATCACTATGTCACTCAATGCCTTCTGTTAACAGGAAAGGTGTACCATTAACAGGAAGCTGCTTTCTTCAGCTGCGACAATTTTAACATGAGTACCCCAAGCTAACCTTATCAGTTCACGGAATGCAAAAGGTCAATAAGTTGTATTTTCTGTTCCTTGGAATATGTGAATGGTATGAAGAAAAATTTAAAAAAATGTGGCACAGTAAATTATTCTTACATCAACCCAAAGAATGAAACTCTGTCTTGATCCACAGTGAACCTGTTGATTTAACAATCATACTGCATCTAGCAAACATAATTTTTGTTTCAAAGGTTCTTGTCTTTGTTGGAGTTCTTATCCTTGTACTGGGGACATACGCAACGCTGTATGCAGCTAACGAGTCTGGAAACGAAAATAAGATTGAAGCTATCAGTCCTCAGCCTGACCATTTTGACAATGTTGCTAGAATGACAGTGATACAAGTTAATAAAGCTGTGGTTGGTGATATTGTTGCAGGTAAGCCAAATGAGTATGAGAAGTCAAAAGGTACAAAATTCATATTTCATTTACACTTTATGTAACTTAAATAAGAAATATATTTTGTTCTATAATTCTTCAAGGGGAGCCGGGATAGTGCAGTCAGTATAGTGACTGGCTACAAGCTGAACAACCAACAAGTCCTGGTAGGGGCAAGAATTTTCTCTTCCCCATGTCGTCGAGACCGGTACTGGGGCCCACCCAGCCTCCTATCCAATGGATACTGGGGGCTCTTTCCCAAGGAGTAAAGCAGCTGGGGAGTGAAGCTGACCACTCACCTCCAGCTAGTGCCAAGGTCAAGACAATGTGGATCTATACATCCACTCCCCCATGCGCCTTCATGGCATGGTGCTTAATTAGTTAAGCACAAGGACAACTTTACCTTTATAACTCTTCATGCTTTCACAGTGATTTTTAGCTAAACTTTCTTCATTCTTAGGTAATGACCCATTATTGTAGATTGGTTTGCAAATGTTGCTGTCTTCATCAAGGTGAAGTGACTGAAAAGCAGCCTAGCACCAATGTTGATAGTTCTGGGCCACAAGTGACCCAAATGATTGCAAATATTATGTATATCATGTAATAATTATCACTTTATGGAGTGATCAGTGTTCCACCACACTTAACCACTTCTGCTCATGAGATCACTTCTTTGTTCACTTGTTATTTCACAGCAACACCATTGCTCACAATACTGCACTTACTTTCTTTCAAGTCCTCTGCACTGTACTGAACAGAACTGGGGTTTGACTAACTGCTCACTTAGTAAGTCACTGATCCATTGACTGACTTCATTCACAAATTACTTTCTGCAATGCACTGCACTGAACAGTACTAAGAGTTCTGTCTTCGTCCACTGAAAGTCAGCTGACATTTTGGAGGAACATGTGGCCTCCATCTTCAGGGTTGAAGAATAAGCCAAGAGAGAAGCCAGCATGAGTGCAGATGACAGCACACAGCATTATATCTCCTAAGATGGCACTTTTCAAAACCACTGCCTTGAAAAACTCTAAATCCTACATTGACAACTACTGTTATAGGCGGGTCACTCTCCAGGAAAATTGTAGCAAATTCTTGGGTGATTTCACTCTTGTGCATCATCTGAGCAGTTTCTTGAACAATCCAGATATATGAGAGGCATTTGCAGGTCAGGTGGACACGATGCTCCCCATCCGTAGCTTTCACATTGATGTGCGTTTCATAGTGTCTGGCGCCCTTGAAAAATGGATGGACTATGTGTAATGTATTTATGTAAAAGTGTGAATATTGTGGATATATATAGCTGACCATGACTTTTGACAGGGGGTAGACCCATTGTCTAACAAGGGAGGACACCCCACCATCAACAGTAAGAAACTCTTCTGAGAAAGATCAAAATCTAGTCACAAGGCACAGATGGCACTTGGCACCAAGACAAACTACTGACTGACTATCTTAATGTGACTTTGACTTGGATGTTATGTATATTCCTGTTTCTCTGTTGACTACACATTCACCAATGAGAACATGGTATTCATCGCTGTCTTACAACTGGAATCTTAGGGCTGCTGTAGTCACTTCTTCCTAACTAGTTGCCTTTGGCATAAATACCACATCCCCCTAAAATAATGTATAAGTGTACACAACCCTTACTCCTCCATCTTTGTCAGTAAGCAGATGGGGCAGTTATGCACATTACTGCAGGTCCCTGTCAGTGATAGCAAGAACACAAATAGCTTAACAACCTATTTGCGCCAACAGTAAACTATAAAATGTTCCTATACAGCCAGGAAAATGTCTGTGGTACATTTTGCTAGCTACAGCTACATTTTCTGAAAGCACGTACTCAGTCTTAGTGACTTTTTCTGACTTGCCGAAGCTGTGCATGAGTACAAGTATATTTTAAGTAATTTCAAGAACATGCCAACCCCCTACCCCTCTCCCCCTTTCACCAGAGCAGGTCACTACCCACAGTTGCTTAATCATTGTCTCTTACTTTCTTTTTCGTCCTCTTTCATGAACATAAACAAGCTGGTACTGAGAAGCTGGTTTGTGTATGCGACTTCTGTCCATCCTTTCTAGGTGGTCTAACAAGCTCCTTTCATATAGTTTTATTTATGTCTTCTATTTTGTTGTTCACTTTAATCCTATTATGAATGTCATGATTTCTCTGGCAGACTTATCCTGTAATTCCTAATAATGGTCTCACCACTTTCATTTATGCTGCATTCTTAATCATATTAAGTGTAATTTGTGTTTTAATTATTAGTGAAACCAAAAGATGGTGCAGCTGAGCCTAAGCAAGAGCCATTGCTTGGAAATAAGGACACAGGTGGACAGAATCCCCAAATACAGCAAGTACAGCAACTGGACCTTCTCAGGAAACCTGATGTTCGACAGGAACCCCCAGTGCCCGTGGAACCAGCAGCTGTACCATCTGCATCAGGGCCAGAGAAGAAGGAGCCAAAAGAAATAATACAGAAGGTATTGCACTTTTAGCTGCATTCAGAAGTTGCTGTTAGAATGGATTCAGAAAGAAGTCTGAGTTTCAATTGCAACATGGATTTTTCAGTCCTGAACTCTGAGAATTTTCAGATAACTAATTTACCTCTATACTGCAACTGGCCAGCTACCTGGTACCGTTGGCAGCAGTAGCACAAATTGACTTGTAAACAAGATCTGTCTGTCTCTCCCTCATCCTGCCTGCAGTGAAAGCGGATATGACATTAGGACTGAATTTTCAAATGCAGTTAATGAATAATGTTCAATAAAAATGATGTGATACCAAAAAAAAAGAGATAGGTGTTATACTGGGTACATTGTGGAAAAGTGGATAATGTTACAAGTTGTGATTACAATGGAAAAAAATGGTGTAGTAGGAAAAATTCTCATATGGATTGTTAGAGTTTTCCCAAATTCCCATCTAAAACTGAGGGAGTCATGAAAAGAGATGAGGGAAGACAAAATTAGACCACATTTTGGTCACTCAGAAAGTTCCTTATTCTGCTCTTAGATGTCAGTGTGGTCACACAATTGCAGAGACCTCTGATGGGCAAGAGTGGGAACAACTTGAAATCACCCTACCCAACTGAAGTGAACTAGATAACTGGGGTAACATAACTCATCCAAATGGAAAAGTTCTTTGGGTACCCCCCCTCCACCCACACACATGCGTGCGCGCGCGCTTTCTCTCTTTCTCTCCACCCTCTCTCCCACTTTGGAGCATAGGACATCCATGGAATGCTTTGTTTCACTTCAGTCGTAAGTTGGTAGGACTCCTTGGACACGAGATCAGTCTATTGCAAGGCTGCTCCCTACGATAAATGCAGACATACATTCATGTCTTGAGTGGGATTCGAACCCACGATCCCAGTGTTCAAGCGAGTGAAGACAGTTTATGCCTTAGACCGCGCAGCCACTGTTATCGGCTCTTTGGGAACCAGGAGGTGATGAAACGGGTTTCAGTGACCCTGTGTTTAGGGCAAGAGGTGATGGAAGAGTCTATATTGACCATGTGGGAAGAAGCAGAGGTGAAGAAAGAGGTTTTTAGCAGCAACATGGTTAAAAAAATTTGCAAAAGCTCAAGTTATGCTGTAAACTCCAGCTTCAAAAGCATAAAGAAGGGCAGTATCTCTGCCTTTCATCCTCATCTCTTCCTGTGTTATGCTTCGTAGTTTGTTGCATTCATTCAGTCTTCTTGCTTGACCATATCCTCGTGCCTCATTTTTTTGTCTTTCAAAGTTCCTCCCCCCATTTGATTTTCTCACTAGTCTGTTACCCTCCGTTCGATCAATATGTCCATTTTCTTTTGTTGTCCTGTTATTAATCTCTTTGCAGATTCAATTCATCATTCTGCCATTGGTTTACTGATATCCTTGTGTCTCTCTTTTTGTAGATTGAGGAAACTGCTCTCCATGATTCCGATATCAAGAAAGATGTTGCAGTGGCTGTTCCTGAAGGGAAGAAAATCCTGCCTGATCCTGCAGCAGACAAAGGGAAAGGAAACAATGAACAAGTGGATCAGGACGCAATTAAGAAGGAGGATGAAGAATTAGCCGAAGCAGAGAAGCAAGCACAAGCTGATAATGAACAAAAGAATGAAGAACTGCTTAGGAAACTTGAGAAGCACAAAGAAGAGCAAAAGAAACTTCTTCAGGAACAAAAACAGATTCTTCAAGAGCTCAAGAAACACAAGAAAGATATGGAACAGGCTGTCGCAAAGCAGAAAAACGATAAGGTTCCTGAGGGTGTCCCAGATAAAATACAAAATGATGCTGGACTGAAACCAGAGGGTAAAGACAATGAGAAGAATCACTTACATGATAAGAAACAGTCTGTACTTAATAATGCTGGACCTCAAAGTGGAGTTCCTCTAGCCCAGAGCTTACAAAATAAAAGTAATGTAGTGAATGAGATTCAGAAATCACGGAATGAAATAGCACAACCACAAAAGAATGTTGAAAAGAAAGATGCTGAGCCTCAGCCTATGAAGTCTGAACCCTCAAAGAAGGCCACAGCAGGACCAAGTTACGCCAATGAAATTCAGCAAGGACCACCGAATTTGATGCTGCAAGAAATGCCAAAGGCCGCATCCCTGAATGCAAGCAGTTCAGAATTGAATGGGTCAGCACGCCAACAAGCACAAGGTTTGTAGTAACTGTTGTAAAATTTATTTGTTCCTGTTGTTTAAACGTTCATGGAACTGAATGTTTCAGTTGAATGGGTAGCACTCCAGCATCATGTTTAGAAAGTTTCAAGTACAAATCTCAGCCTTGAGGCCAGCCATCGTGACCAAGGTTTTTTTTTCTTTTTTTCTTTTTTTCATTTTGGCTTATTCCCACCAGGCAAATGCCAGAATAGTACTGAAAATTAGGCCATGGCGTGTTTAAAGCAAGACCAATACAAGAGAAGTCCCTTTTCTCAAGTTGTACATATCAGTACAAGATCCTGCTCATTGCTTGTAACATCTTACCTTGAGAAGACAACCTTACAGATGAAAACTTCAACAAGATCTTGGTTTGACGATTTTGGTTCCTGTCACATGTGGGAAATGAAATCCAGTAACTTTCTAACAATGATGTAACAATTTACATTACTATCTGATGATAACACACCCTCAAAAATGTTTTAGGACACAGTTTACGAAATGATATGCATTTCTATGACATACATAAATGATATTATTTCACTGCTTTGCAGAAAGAATAGATTTGTAAATATTGTCACGTATATGAGTGACTATAGACAGGGTTTCAGTTGGTAATTGGATTTATTGAACACTTACAGAACGTTGACTATGAGGGAGAGTCAGTAAATGGTCACAAATGAATATAAAACATGAAACATGTGATATTTTAATATGGACAAAACATTTATTTCTCAACATATCCTCCATCAACATTGATACAATTGTTCCATCCCTTTAGCAGTGTGACAGAACCCTGCATAGAAGTCTTTTTGACTGTTGTCAAAGCCACTTCCACACCTGGTCAGGTATCATCTGCAAATTTTTAACATCTTTGAGAGAATTTCTCGACCCAGTTGTGAACCACTATACTCAAGAAACACTTCGCACTGTAAACAAGAAACATTTCTGTATGAATGTCCTTTGCATCGAATTCTTTTGCCCACAAGAAAAGCACAACAGAATGCTGCCCTTTGATCGAACACTCCTCAGGCATGTTCTACAGGTCATTTGGAGCAAAAAGAATGTAACAAACTGCAGATCGGTTCAATACCATTATCGAGTTCAGTGCTAGCATAATATAGCACTGAATTAAAAGCATATTTTCAACACACCTTTATCATCATTCCCCCCTTGGAGCTGAGCCCTTCTTGAGAAGCTGCCAATTGTGCAACTACTGAAGAACTTCCCAGCAATTTATGGAACCTGAGGGGTCATTACCATGTTCACAAGAGCCCTCCACTGGTCCCTATCCTGAGCCAGACCAATCCAATCCATACCATCCCATCCTATCTCTCTAAGATCCATTTTAATATTGTCCACCCACTTATGTCTTAGTCTTTCCTGTGGTCTCTCTCCTTCTGGCTTTCCCACTAATATCCTATGTGCATTCCTTTTCTCCCCCCATTCGTGCTACATTCCCTGCCCATCTCATCCTCCTTGACCTGACCATTCTAATTATACTTGCAGAAGAGCGCAAGTTATGAAGCTCCTCATTATGCAGTTTTCTCCAACCTCCTGTCACTTCATCTCTCTTTGGTCCAAATATTCTCCTCAACACCCTGTTCTCAAACGCTCTCAGTCTATGTTTCTCCCTTAATGTCAGAGACCAAGTTTCACACCCATACAGAACCACAGCCAAAATTATAGTTTTGTATATTCTAATTTATATGTTTTTGGGCAACAGATGAGAAGACAAAAGTTTCTGGACTGAATGGTACATTTCACTTGATAACAGCATCAAATCAGCCTGTAGTTTATTGGACAGTTTTTCCACCAAATGACATGCAGAACATGTTTCTGAAGTTTGGCCAATACTTTGCCAAACACTCAGGCTAGCTGAATATGAATTAATGAGATCTTTCAGTGTATGTGTTTTGTAGTACCTTTTGTGATATTTTGAGTTTATTTTTCAGGTTTGAAATCCCAGGATCAGAAGCTTGTGGGTGTGGTACAACAGCAGGATGGACCAGCTCCAGCTCCAAAACAGTTGCTGTTACCTCTTCCCTTAGCTGTTCATAATGGTGCATCAAAAGTCTACAAGCACAATGAGGCCATTGTTCAAGGGAATAAGGCAGACACAGCTGTTGATTCTGAAAAAGTGGCAAACCAGCAGAATGGTGCAGATGTTGATGAGGCAAAGGTCATGAGGAGGGACATATTAGCAAATTATGAAAATGGTTATAAATCAAATACTAATCAAGATGGTGGAATAGTAAATTCTGAGTTGGACACAGCGATAAAAAATAAAAATACCCTGTCAAACAGTGTCAGTAAAGATACAATTTATGGTGGTAAGAATGAGAGCCATCAGCGACTTAAGCGAGATGCTCTGATGGAAGAATCTGGGATGAATACGTTTCTGGCTGCCAGTATAATGAATAAAGAGAAAAATGAGCAGGATATACAGGGTGATGCATCAGAGAACTGTGCAGTGGGTGAAAAATTTAATAAAATTAGTGAAGCAGAAACATTGAACATGGCCATGCTCTCCAAGGAGAAACATAATATCGCAGATGATCAGAAAGATAAGGAACCTCCATCCATATCAGATAAATATCTCACGTCTCCACAGATCCTAGCTGTAGGAACTGTTCCATATCCGGAGAGAAGAGCAGAAATTATAGACTCGGTGTCTGATTCTAAGGCTAATGCCTCATTTACAGATACAAATAATTCAGGGAACCAGAAACAGGAAGGGTTTGTTTCAGGCGAAAGTAAGACACCAGCAGTTCCTGATGTAGCTGATGTAAGCACTTCAAATTCTATCATCAAAACTCCTTCACATCTCTCAGAACCAAAACTGAATGATAACATGCAACTGCTGAATGAAGCAGCAATAAGCGCAAAAGACATATCAGTTGTTGCTAAGCCAATGACGAGAGATCTCAAATCAGTTTCAGCGGTTCAGCAAGTTCACGAAAATAATGAACGCAATGAAACAAAAGACACCTGAATGACTTTAAACTATTTAGTACTTGTTCAGTTGAGATGTCCTGGGGTTTGTAGATAAATATGTCCCTTCATACAGTTCTTTTAGTTACTGTTTTTTTGTGTGTATGTTTCCTGTTGAGTTCATATGAAGAAATATATGTTATTGCTCTGACTGCTACAACTGATAATAGGTAATTTATTGGTATTGATAGTGAGGCCTGATAGTGTTGGATTTGATGTTCTGACAACAGTGACTAAAAGAATGAGGTTTCATGTGTTATAACACTGTGTATTTGAGAGAGCGCCTGACATTCTGTAGGAACATATCACTGTCATCATCCGGGTGGAACAGTAAGCAAGCATAAAACCAGCAGACACAGTTGGCAAGCTTGACTCTAACACGTCCGACACTCTCTGAACTACAGAGCATTACGGCTCACAAGACGTGATAGTTCCTGGTTCATTTCCTCCACTCTCCTTCTATGCCTTCATGTGGTTATACACATGTTAAATGTGGATCCCCTATCAAATACTTGGTCAGTATGTGATTATCAGATGTATAAAATTAGACACAGAAATGTAAAGACTTGGTATTTGAAAGTAAATTCCAGCTTTGTTTTTCTTCTTCTCCACATATCAACTGGTGCATTTATTCAAGACTGAGTAATGTATTTTGAGTACTGACTTCATTGTTTGTAATCTTCTACGGCAGTTATTCTCAACTCTTTTAAATATAATGCCTTCCTTTCAGTTAACACAAGACCTCAGTCCTCGTTGAAAGAGTAGTAATAATTTTATTTGAAAATTAAAAATGTGAATAGTCTAATTCAAATTTATATTTGTGAACCTCATCTTACATCAGTAAGGAATATTTTTGTTTTAAAAAATCTTCATAAATGTAAATAATTTGTACTTTAAAAATTAATGAAACAGATTGAAGGATATATGATTACATTTGAGTTTGCCCCGAACATAATCAGTGTGACCACTGATGTTGCATTCTCAGCTGTGTGGGAGAAAGAGCGCAACATGAGTCCCCTACTGGGAATGTATATTGCTGTGTACATTGCATGCTATTGCCTCATAAAACTCAGTGATATCCAGAGGTCAACAGTCACAGTTTTGTGCACACTTAGAGTGAAAATGTCATTTAGATAATGGGCTCTTGTGCCCCCCACCCCTTGGATCCTTATATGTCTCACCAGTTGAGAACCTATGGTCTAGAGTTATGTTTTTATAATTTTTTTAGATTTACATTCTATGACTTAATAACATTATATATTTATAATTATTTATAAGTTTCCAGAAATGTTAGTGCAATATACTGTCAATTATCTGGCTGCAGATGATCCTCTTTTCAGCTTATCTGTGATTTTTGAGCACCTTTGAAACCCTCTAGAGCACTTCTGCCCACCTGTCTGTATGTGTGACAGCCCAAAAACTGTTTAACTTATTTCAATGAAGTTGGATATTGGAGAGTCATTTGAAGAACTGTTGAACATTTTCAAGTCTAATTTAAATCGGACAATTTTAACATCCACATTACATGAAGACTTACATGCCTCTCTGCACATGTTTCAAGGAAATGTTATAGAGAAAAAAATACTTTTAATGTTCAGTACAGTTTTCAAGGCAATTAAACAAATGAGATGCCATGTGCACAGATCTGAATTTCTGTATTCAGCAACACCATGGTCTTCTGATCACTTCCAAACTTGGATTTTGGTTATTTGTATGTCCCAGCGAAGGGAACAGATTATCCAAGGGTTCTGTTTAGAAAATTAATGGATATGTCCAATGTCAAAAGATAAAACTTCATGTGAAATTTCTTTTTAAAAAGGAACAAATACAAAATGGAGGGAGTTTTTTTTTTCGCGTTTTGAGTATGCCCTTTGAAAGTTCAGAAGGCATTCTTTGTTTTTTTTTTTTCTCTTTTTTTTTCCTTTTTAATCTGTAAAAACAACAGGGGCTTCTCAGAAACCACACTCATGTTTCTAACAATAGCATTCAAGTAATATACACTTCTAAATGGGTTTTATAAATCCCAATTCACAAGTTAGTTACTGATTATCTAGGGTTCAGACTCTCTGGGGAAATTAACTTCCCCTCCACCTTTGGTAATCTGGAGTGCGCTGCATAAGAGGATTCCCAATACTCGTATTGCTTAAGTAAAGGAACCACATCTTACAGTCGTGTATACAATATATTTATTTTACTTCAGAGCTGCTCTATTTTTTCTCTTTTTCGATATATCTTCATTATAATGAAATTCAGATTCATAAAAACATTTTTTTAGAAACAAGGTACTCAGCACACTTGGGGAACTAATACCGTTCATGATGATACCTCACGTCTGTACCTTGTTATTTGTCCTGAGGTACTGAATCAGATTTATTTTATGGTTATATTCACCATTTCAAGTATGTTTCTCTTTTGCAATTATTGTTAATCGCTATTGATATTTGTACATAAAATGGTAAGATGTATATATCTGAGGAAATATTATTCATAAGTCAATTTAATAAAACCATCTGATAACAGTTGTATATTTTAATATGTTTATTAAAATGTTCATGCTACCTGTTTTAACAAAATTCTGCCATATACAGGAATGTTTAAGTAAGTATATAGCTATATATAATAGCTATAAAAAGATCCACATTCTGTGAATACAGTATAGTAAAATATAATAAAAATGTATTTTTAGTAGTTTATGTGTTCCTTTTATATGTTCATGTTCTGGTTGCTCTGCATATTTGATTTATGCAGAGGGGGCTTCATATTTTCACATATTAGTAACTAGATATGTGGTTTGGATTGTTAATTGGATTCATGGAACACTTATAAATTGTTAACTACATGTAATTATAACAACTTCATGGATCTACACACTCAACAAGTCACAACAGCTCACACTAAGTTTTTCAGATTTCTGTGTCTTCACCAGTTATTACCTGGTAACAAATACCCACAGTGTCCTCTGCTTCATTCTCATGTCCTTACCAGCTGGTGACTGTCTCACAATTAGTCCTCATCTGACCACTCACTGGCTGTGACTATGAGAAAGAGAGTTACTTTACAATTGGCAGTTTACCACCAATCAGTTTGTCTTGGTGACAAGCCCCTTTGAGACTCATGACCAGTAATTTTTTTTCAACTGAACACTTACAGTCATAGTCCTTATGTAACATCCTCTCTGATAAGAGGATGGATCTGTTGTTTACAATTCCTGCTGGCCCTCACCAGCGAAGTCATTCTCAGGTCCAAGTCCGCGGGACTCATGAACACCATTTTATTGTCTCAGATTCAAGACTCTCGCAAACTGGAGGCCCAGGTCCCCGTATTTATATCCCTCAGGAATAGGGTGGCCTGGTTATAGCCTCAGGCACTGGGTTCCCTTTTCGTCTCCTGCAATTTGCAGGGCTACGGTGGTGTTCAACCCTGCCTCCACGTGGGATTCTCTGTGACTTATCACTTGGCTGGTGGCCTCATATAATCATGTCACAATATGCTATTATTTTGTTATTATATCTTTTTTATGCCTATATCTGCAATACTTACATTAATCTTAATCATATTAGAGTCTTTCCTACATGCTGTCCTGTTTTGTGGCAGTGTGTTCTTGCTGTATCTCAAGATGGACTGTTCATGACTTTTCCTTCAAATCACGTTATTAGATTATTGCACATTTTGTTCATGTCAGTAACATCCAGAACCTCATGAAGAGCTGTGTTCTGGTTCTCAAATTTTTGTTTGGCAGTTAGTTTATTCATATTTTTTGCATTTGTAAATCTAAAATTTCTCTTCTGTTTTTATGATCTGACCTTTGTTGCAAAATCTACAATGTTTATTACTTGCTGTATTTTTCTCAATTATTATATTTTATTTAATAGATGTGTTCATATCTTGAATCCTCTTTATTTTTAATGCTACATACATATATGATGAAAATATATACAGCTACACCACCAGTCTGATATACAATGTATAATGGTTGTACACCTCCCCATAGATTAGATTCAGCTGATTAAAGGTTCATGCATTTAAAGAAATCTTTGTAATTTTTCCAATTCTGTAAAATAACCATAGATTATTAGGAATTTAAAACTAAATTCTAAACATAAACTTAAATGAAGGACGTAAAAACTAGATTCTAAAGGGTTCTGTCAATGGTGTATAATACTCAGACTTACTGGGTTTTTGGACTTGGTCCATTGCCCAGTATTCTAGAAAGTGGATCTGTTTACATCCTCAGGTGAGTGGGGAGAGACACCTACTATTATGTTAGCTCTTTTTAAGGGACCCAACAGAGTGTCTTCCCCCTCTCACCTGAGAAGGAGACAGATACAGTTTCCAAAACGTTTCCTAGTTTCTAGAATACCAGGTGATGGACAGAGTCCAAAAACCTAGTAATTCTGGGAATATAAAAACTCCATATAAATATAGCCATTGAGTGTATCATCAGAACTGATGATAAACTAATGAACAGATTACTGCTGACAACTTGATAAAGAAATCATAATGCTTTTGTGAACAACTTGGATCAAAGTTACAGAAAGCCAGCACAATAGATACAGTAATAAGCCATAAGTCATATCATCCTTGTGAGCAAGGTTAAAGCTCGGGCCGCGCAATAGCTCAAGCGGTTAGTCGCTGGCTTACCACTGCGGCGGCCTGAGTTCGATCCCGTGTCTGGTCAAGTGGGATTTGTGGTGGACAAAGTGGCGCTGGGGCAGGTTTTCTCCGAGTACTTCGGTTTCCCTTGTCAATCTTCATTCCACCAATTGCTCCACAATCACCCTCACCTATCATCTGGGGCTGGTACAATAGGCCAGAAGTGGCTGCAGTATAAGGACTTAGTCCCACCCCACTAGCAATAAAAAGAAAGTCCCTTGTACTGCAAGATTGAGAAAACTGCATAAGCTGGGCTTCATGACTTTTACCGTTAGGCGATACAATTAAAATAATCAAGCCAAGGACTGTAATATGGGCAGGGCATGTAGCACGCATGGGAGCGAATAGGAATACATACAGGGTTTTGGTGGGAAAGCCAGAAGGAAACATCATTATGATGACCTGGATGTAGGGGGGAGAATAATATTAAATTAGACTGTAGAGAAATAAGATGGGATAGTATGGACTGGATTGATCTGACTCAGGATAGGGACCAGTGGAGGGCTCTTGTGAACACAGCAATGAATCTTTCTATGAATTCCTGAGTAGCTGAGCGACAGATGGCTTCTAAAAAGTTACTCAGCTCCATGGAGTAGGTTTTAGTTAAGTTTTATGAAATGTATATTGGCACTGAAGTGTGTGAACTTTGGAAAAGTACAAAGCAGTACAACTCGTGACTTGTGTATTTCTGCACATGTTGCTGATTCATTTTAAATATTTGTATTTCATATAAGAAGCCAGAAAGCATTAGCTGCGACTAACTCAGTTTCAGCAATATACATTGTTTCTGTAGAGGGATTTGGTAACTTTTCTATTCTGTCACTTTTTTCGAGTTTATTAAAAGTGAATAGAGTAATATTATGGATCTTAACCTAAATCAATATTGATCAGTTACAGAGAATAAATGCAGATGCCTATGAACTTGGCTGATCAGTTCTTCAGGTATTCATGGATACTTATACATTGAGATTCTAAAAATAACCTGCAAAAGACCAGTTCTCTTACCTAGGGCATAAATGTTGTGGTATGGCAAGTGATTAAATTAATGCACAGAACTGTTATGGGTAAAGAGATAAATTCTGGTTCATGTTACCATGTAATGTATATTTTTACTCTATGGATCTGTATTAATGCACAGAACTGTTATGGGTAAAGAGATAAATTCTGGTTCATGTTACCATGTAATGTATATTTTTACTCTATGGATCTGTATGCATATTTTATAAACACTTTCATGTGTACAGTGCTGCATGCAATATATATCAATACATCATTCACTTTAACAAACCTTGGTCTGTTTTATACATTTTCACACTTGCACTGCTTAAAACAGGGTATACTGTTGTGAGTACTGACTTCTTAGATATGATGCCATACACTCTGTTGGAAGTAACGTACTGCCTCTATCTTCAGGGTCAAAGATATGCTGAGGCACTGAGTTTGCTGCTTGCTTCTTGCTTGTTCCTTGCTTCATATATTCTCTCCTCTGAAGATGGAGGCAGTACATTCGTGTGAAACGTTGGGAGTTGTATGGAACTACAAGGCATCATGTGCCAAATAGTACCCCACAGTAAATAATGTGATATATAGACCCATTGCTAGGCATCAACTTGATACACGCATTCCCATGGAAGTGTACACGCGCAACAATAGTACGTCCATTGCTGGGCAACGGATCAGTAAACAAGCCTCCACTATAGATAGGATGTGTTTTCTGCGTGGTTCGTGACGAGGAGTTATAAAGGGACAAAGAAGTTCATTTGAGTTAGTATCACGTGTTGAGGCTGGGTCAAATACCTCCACCGTGACCCTGCGAGTCGTAAGAGGCGACGAAAGGGGAAGTCTCAAATATGAGACAGTAAAATATAATCGCGAGTCCCAAGAGACTCGGACCCGAGAAAGACTGCGCTGGCAAAGGCCAGTAGCATATACAAAAGACAGACCCGTCCTCTCATCAGAGAGGGCGCCCCACAAAAACAAGACAGTAACTGTCAAACAGTAATAAATATCTGGTCATGATCCCAGATGGGGCTCGACACCAAGACTTACTGACTGACTGACTGACTGACCGCCAGTCGCAATGTGACTTTGACTTTGTTTGAGTTAGTTGTCGAGAATTGGGTCCAGTTCTAGAGCTGGCAGTCGAAGGTGATTGAGAAGAAATGACAAGAAGGGAATTAGGCTATGAAAATAAGACTTCGTATGTTATCTGAAGTGACAGTGAAACTGTTATAAATCCGTTGCCAGAGTACGACTAGTAAAGACTGAGAAACCTAGTGCGTGTGGAACGGTGAGCTGTAAAGTGTGTAGATCAGCGACATCGCTTGATTGCCTGCAGTTCCGAGTACTTCGGTTTCCCTGCCAATCTTTATTCCACCAATTGCTCCACAATCACCCTCACCTATCATCTGGGGCTGGTACAATAGGCCAGAAGTGGCCGCAGTACAAGGGACTTAGTCCCACCCCACTAGCAATTAAAAAAACTGAATTGGGGGTTCGCTGGCCTTCGTTCGCGCAGTGTGTGCTTACCTCAAGATGCAAAGCAGGAGACCATTATTTTGGTCGCTGTTTGGCCCCACCTTGCGGTGTTGCACACTCTGTTCAGGACGACTCATTCCATCTGGCTTGCAGCCAAGATAGGATCCCTATCTCCGAACTATGGCAGTTCAACCGTATCATTTTGTACGGAGGAAGTGTCACTATCAAAACGTAAAGCATACATCTGCCATTTCAATTCATGTCTGTCTCTAGTGTGTTGTTGACAGGTGTGCATAAACAGTCGGTCCGGTTCACTCACCTTCGAATCTATTAATCAAACAAGAATGGGCAATATAGCGGAAACTCGCTCATTGCGATCTTTGTGGGACACA